TTTACCAAACCTTCTTAATTGATATTCTAAAACAAAGATATTAATCAACTGTGGCGAAAAGTGAAAAATCAATTCTGAAACGTGATCTTTCGTATCGTTTCGTGTGGTGACCACGCTGCTCGCTGATTCACTCGCGTATCATCACAACGGTCACACTAATCAATTCATCAAAATTCTATTCAGTGCTAACAATAATTCAGCGATTCACGTCAATGAGTCCATACAGTCCTCTTGTACTAACGGTGACTGCATTATGCATGGTGCATGGTACTGACGGTAGTCAATGCGCTCGAATACTGATAAAATCTGATGTCTAATAGCAATGATCATCGCAAAATTAACCAAATGAATAAATTAACCAAATGATGGAATACCACTTGCTATTCCACATAGGTGTCGATTTTCATCACTGATAGCGATTATCTCAATTCAAAGCTGAACTAAGCCCATGAGATGAATGAGGTAAGTTTATATGAATTGTATTATATAATGTATTATATAATAAGGTATCATAAATTATAACCTCAGATGATTATCTCTGGTACGGTGATTTATTTCTTCTTCGCGAGAACGGAGTGCGAAATGGAAAATGTGGGAAGGGGAATGAGAGGGGGTAGGGTTGTTGTAAATTTTATGGATTCGAGATGATCAAAGATATGATTTATGTGTTGGTGAATATGTCTAATTAATTATTGCTGTTGATGTTGTTGTATCTTATCTTGAGATAAGTGAATAATGCATATTCTGTTATATGTATTCACTATTTACCAGTTACTGTGCTGTTCCCGTCGTCTGTCCACTCGTATTGATCACTGTTTAATATCATATCATCAACGGACTCTAGCGATACAAACAACAACATCGTTGCCTTTCCCTAGATTTTCATCGACATGTTCGATGGACTGCCGATATGATAAGAAAACAAAATCGAGAGTGTTTGAATAAAGCTCTCGGTTGAATAGATTCAAATATGTTTTATTCTGATAGCATGAGATTACGGTCATGATCTAGACAATACTCTCTGAAACGAGACGTTTTAGCAGAATTTCAATTATGAAGATGCTTCTTAAATGGTTATTAAATTGCATCACTGTTATTGAAACTATATCGTAAAAGTTTCTTGATCACTGTGGATCTTTTTGATCATATCTTTTTCGTATTTAAAATTTATCTACGTCTCGATTTGGAACTAATCTCTAATCATGGTTGAATGTAAGTATGAGTTCATTCCGTGACCAATCAATCTGTCTAAAGACGTTTAGTCTAACGACAATTTGCCTAAAGACACATTGCCTAACGGACAGTTTGCCCAAGTTACGGTTTTTTAATGGATATTTCGCCTAATAGGCAAACTGTCCGTTAGACAAAATGCCCATTAGGCAAAATGTCGTTAGGCTAAATGTCTTTGACCGGGTACCGTTTATTCATCAATTTATTGTATGATAAGTCGAATCAACAGCAACACATCGATGTCATGCATGAATTTATTTCATTGAACCAGTGGATTTTGTACAATAAATTCAAGGACTTCAAACAATCAAGAATCACGGTGCTGTGGGTCTCATCAGGTTATGTGGATATTCGCCTTTCGTTTTGGGACTCCATAAAAGATTCGAACGATGTGGAATAGGGTCATGTGGACCTGGTGTTGGCACATGACCTGCACAGTACACCTGAAATTTTGCGATATTCCTAACATTGTAGCAATTTTACAAAGGATACAACGATTATCATGTAGCCATCGTTAGATAACAGCCATTATCAGTCATAATGGTCAACAATATAATCAGATCAATCAAAAAAGTGATAGGTTTTCAGTGTCACCTCGAGATCCTGAGTATCATTCCGATTGTTATGATAGGTTTTCAGTGATAATCTTGTCCCACAGATCCAGCATTTGAAACAACCCTAAAATTATTCACCAATAAATGTCTCTGTTAGCTTACGTGACCTGGCTATTAGCGAAATTACAATTTGTATGATTTGGATCTCCTTGATCTCATAAGAACTTTAGAAAACGATCAAATTCAAAATTCTGTTGACATTTGAATATTTGTCGAGTCTTATTAATTCTTCGCTATCTTCTAATTAATAGTTTTGAATTGAAATGAATATTTCATTTACTTATGTCTCCAAGGTATGATTCAGTATGAAACAAATCTTGCCTTGTGGAAGAGAACCCCATCTTTTAGAGGACCAATCTTGTCGTTGAAATAAGTGGGACGCTTACAACGGAAACACGGTTCCTTCATGACTGAGGACGCAGTTCTCTTTCACTGAAATTTTCGTCGAATAAAAAATATCGCTGAAGAGGAGAACTATAAGGGAAATCTTCATCGCATGCTAAGCGCATATAGTAAATAAGGCGATATGAACGTTGATTTCATTCAAAATCCATTATCCTTCCCAATAACTCTTCAGGATTTCAAGTGGATTCAGAGGGAATCTAGAAATGAATTCAGCACTGAGCTGATTTGACGTCCAAATTCGAATGGATTATTAGTGTTATTATTATGATCTGCGTTGAACATTCCTCAAAAAACAACATTCTTTGTACACTTTCCAGAAAT